TATATAGTCGCTTTCCACACAATCATGAATAATAATATATAGTATCAACCACATTTGAAAAATAGTCATGAATGTTTCTTATTGAAATGTAATTTGAAAACTAAATCATAAGTCATAGCCAACTAGAGGTAGTTAATACACTGGAGAATGTAAGAGTGATTCTTTTCACTTAAAAAAAAAAAGAAAAGGTGTTTCTGTGTCTTTAGTGCATGTATGTGGAGGTGTGTGTATCTTATTTTCTACTTCTTCTGGCTAAATAAAATTGATAATGTGCTTTTTTAGAATTCTATGATATTGTAAGGTTAATGTCTTCCTAGTATAAACTGTAGGATTTTCTCAAAAAGCTACTTTAAAGTTATGTTTAAAAGTTCTGAAAGAAAGCAATTTTTTAATACTGAAGCTTGGCATATTTAATATAAAAATAGTAACGTAGTGATGAATTTGAACAAGAAATTAAAGATTGATATTAGATTTTTAGACCTCTCAATTTTTTGAATCTCCTTGAAGATGCAGATGCTCAGCAAGCTTCATTTAAAAAGAAAAAAAAAATAATGTTCATAATGTTTTCCACTAAGTATAATAACAACTTCTGTTAATTTTCATTATATAGTTAATCATCCTTACAGAGAGAAAAATGAGAGAATGTTTATTTTTGCAAAGTTCAGAATGACCTGATATAACTTCATCAGCCAAATACCAATATGCCCTATACCCACTTTATTCACAGAGAAAAATAGATGCAGATTAAAATAGAATCGTTCCAATTTTTTCTGAAATGATTTAGTAGTCTTCAAAAATCATTTTACAATGCAAAAACATGAAGGATAGTAATATTTCTACTTTAACTTGTTCATTTTCTACAGCTAAAGTATTTTAATTCTAAGAGCCAGAAAGCACCCATATTTCCTAGAGGATTTGGAGGAACCCAGGATGTATATATACACGTACAACTCTGGTTTCTAAGTAAATACTGGCACTTCCCCATCCTCCCACTCTTGACCTTGAAGAGGGACTTCTGCTTAGATCTGTCTCCACATGACCACCACACAGGATTTATGCAGGCTCCACAGCAGGAAGTAGTCTACCTCTTTATGCAAGGAGAAAAGTGGGGATGGGGCTGCACTGCAGCAGAATCTCCTGAATACTCTTGAGGCTAAAGCTCTTTCTCCCCAAGCATGCCCTTACCAATGTGCTTTTCATCCAGCAGTGGTCTGCAATCCAAAGGATTTGGGCTGCAATATCAGACACTATCAGAAGCACCTTGTGGCTTCCTCATCGCATCCACCTGGTGTCCCTCCTTATCCCTGTGCCAGTTACTCTCCACTTAGGAGTTTATCAGTATTGCTAATTCCCAAGGTCATACCTACTTGCCTCCGTTTGCTTTTATTTATTTATTTATTTTTTTCTGCTTTGATAAAATCCTCCCTCCCTTCCATGTCTCACTCTTCTTTTCAAAATCCTACTCCTTCAAAACTCATCTCAGTGCCTCCTATCTGAGGCATTTTTCAGTCTCCAAAAAGTAATGGAATCTTCTGCCTTTGAATTCTAAATTGTACTAAATACTTCTCTTAACGTAATTATGACATTCCACATAGAATAATACTCATTTCTATGCTTGTCTTATCCCCTGACTACTCTTCCTCACTGCATTATAATATACCTGTAGTAGCAAGGACAATTTCTAACCCCTCTAGTGTCCCTTAAAGTATCCCACATGAACACTGCACACCACACTAAACGTATTTGTGTGCAAAAATTTTTTAAAAGAAGGTTCTTTGTTTCACTCCATCATATAAATTGCAAAGGTTATCAATGTCCAGAACAGAAACATAGCTTTGATCTGGTACATCCTAGCAAAGATTGATGTCAGAAGAAAATGTCACTATTTTATTTCTAAGAGAAGTCCAGTTAGTAGTTGATATTTTCCTCCCTGGACCTAGCAATTGAACCCAAGGTTGCTCTACCACTGAGTACATCCTCAGCCCTTTTTATTTTTTATTTTGAGACAGGGTCTCACTAAAGTTGCCCACACTAGCCTCAAACTTGTGATCCTCCTGCCTCAGACTCCCAAATAGCTGGGAATAAAGGTGTATGCCACCATACACCTGGTAATAATTGATATTTTTATATGAGTATAAATGTTCCTTCACAAAACAGAATTTCATCCAGATCCCATAAAGTCCTTCCCTTTGATGGAATCATAGAGAGTCTAAATAGTGACTTTCATACAAAGCATATATTTTTATATGCAAAAAGATTTTTAAAAATATGGTTATTGCTAATTTTGTCATAGGTCACATTTTACATCTTTTACAGTACTGTAGAAATATTCCCAGATGTCTGGAATTAGATCATTCCATAAATAATAGATACATTCAATATTATACTTATCAATTTTTCTACTGTAAAATTATTCCCCAAACAACAAGACAATGCTGCAAAGACTGATTACTCCAACCCAGACTTTCAGAATTGCCATATTGTTGTTATAATTAAGACCACATTGGGGCTTATCTGCGCAAGGATCCTGACAATAGCCCCAAACTGCTGATGTAGCTTTAATGTGGATTGGGGCAAGAAAATAAATAGACTTTATGTATGTAAACTTAACAGCTATCTTGCAGTTCCTCGACATGTTATGCTGATGTTGTAGAAGTTTTTTTCCTTATCATTTTTCCAAAGCCAACTAGTTAATTCCAATGTCAAAAACAATTCAGAGTTTTAAAATCACAGTTTAAATAGCATACATATGTTCACAATGAAAGTAGTGTAAGTAAACAAGCATATTTTGGGTGGAAGATTATTAATTTAGTCTTACATATAAAGGAACTGTTAAAATAATGTTATGTATGTGTGTGTATGTATATATATATATATATATATATATATATATATATATATATATATAAACAAGTGCTTGAGAATTAAGATTGAATAAATCTAGTGCCTCAGGGAATGAGTAATATGAGTGCTCATTTACTTTTCCCCAATCCAATTAGTGTGTTTTAAGATTCATTTCTATTCAAATCCTAAACTTCTTTGCAGGAACTGCTGGGGTCACCGAGCTATATGATGGAAGATAGGATATGAACTGTGACAGATGGTTTCACCTTCATGAAGCAGGGAACATTAATGAAATGTTGTTTAATGCAGGTTGTTCTGATATTGAGACCACATTCAACACTGCATAAATGATTCTAAATTGCCATGAAGTTCTCACATATACAGCCTACTGATTTATATGCCAAGTAGAGAGATGTCCTTAAACATAAAGGAGGAGACACGTGAAGCTCAGCTTAGGGTGTGGCCACTGGAATCAAACTGTCAATAAAGTGAGCAACAAATTCCTCCAGGACCCCAGCTTAACAACATAAGACTTTTCACTTTCATAATTGGCATCAGAAATAGCAGTATTAAGAAACTGGACTTCTAAATTCCTCATTATTACAGTGGTCACATCATTTAATCTGTTGGAACTCATCCACTTAATATTTTTTAACTCATATGACAATTGTGAACACAAAATGAGGCCTCATCATGGAGTACTTATAATGCAGCTAGCACATTAAAAAAAGATGTCAGAATAATAATCCCCACACCATATTCCACTGATTAAAAAAGTTGGATCTGTTTTGCCCTTTAACATCTCTAAAATCATTGTGTGCATCTTAAAACTGCTATGGCCAAGTTAATGACATAGTTGTTATGTATGTAAACTTCTGTGTTATTCCTGGTGGAAATTGCAATCCCATGTTGCTTCTGCCAAAACACAGATGATCAAAAATAGCTAAGGACCACTGGAGGAAAGAAAAGAAATTCTAGTTGCTTGCTTAAGATTTTATTGACACCTTTGTGACAATTAAGAATACAAAAGGATCAGAGCCTAGAGATGAGTATCAGTATCCTGGAAGAAAATTCTGGAGATGGCAAAAATGAACTTTTTTTAAGAAATTCTGAGCCAGGCATGGTAGGGTACGCCTGTAATGCAAGTGACTCAGGAAGCTAAGACAGGAAGATCTCGAGTTCAAAGCCAGCCTCAGCAACAGGGAGGCACTAAGCAACTCAGTGAGATCCTGTCTCTAAATAAAATACAAAAAAAGGGCTGGGGATGTGGCTCAGTGGTCGAGTGCCACTGAGTTCAATCCCTGGTACCAAAAGAAAAAAAGAAATTCTGTGTCACCCACACCTTTGATGTCACAGAAAATGATGCGGTATAGGAGAACACACACTTCAAGGAGTACGAGTTAAAAAGTGACTCAAAAGATCTTAATTCTGAATGTAACTTTTTGGAATATATTTCCTTTTAATGTGTACAAAACTGTGATATAAAACTATATAAGTCGCAGGAAGGTATTTCAATAAGCACATAATAAAAACTAGGGTTGAGAAGAAAGCATTTTATCATAGTTTAATTTTTATCCATTTTTTTTCCTTTGGGACATACAATGATGGTGCATTGCACAGCCAATGACATCTAGATTTGAAGAAATGTAATATTATCTTTACTTAGTGGCTTTTCCAGTAATGTTTTGGAAGATCAAAAGGTATCATTAGATTTTAACATCCCTATATCTAATCAACCTAAAACCTTAAACATTAAAATAAGCAGTACTATAAAACCTGTAATTAAGACTTTCAATTTGGGGGATAACATTTATAAGTACACTCAGTTTTCTTCATGCACAGAGTCTCAACGCACCTGTTTCTTCTAATTAGCAATCACATGGCTTCTTTGCACCTCATGTTCAACTTCTCTGTAGAACAATGGCCTCATTCTTTAAGGTTGCCCATAGTCTTCAAAAGCAAGTATCATATCTACCACATACTTTGTATTTTAAGCTAGATTAAGCTAGAAATATGTAATATGACTTCCTAACACGCTATATGCTAAATAAGTAGCAGTTATCATTGTTGTTCACCCTGTTCATTCCAAGGAGCAGAGAAGGGGAAGGTTCCTGTTGGCTCTGCATTTCATCTGCTATCACTGTCCATTTTTGTAGGTGGAATTCGCTGTCCAAACACCAGTGCTCTGCAAGAGGTGCGCAGCTGTAATGAGCATCCCTGTACTGTGTACCACTGGCAAACTGGTCCGTGGGGCCAATGCATCGAGGACACCTCAGTGTCATCCTTCAACACAACTACGACTTGGAATGGAGAGGCCTCGTGCTCTGTTGGCATGCAGACAAGAAAAGTTATCTGTGTACGAGTCAATGTGGGCCAAGTAGGACCCAAAAAGTAAGGGCTTTAGAAAGACAGCAGTAAATCCTCTGGTCAGCCATGCAGAGGATTGGCTCAGGCTTCACTTGCTTCATGAAATGGAACATTTTAATGCATGTCATACCTGTCCTCAAGAGTAAGATTTGTTTGTTTTAAATGTCAGCTGCTGATAAAGCTGTAATGGCTTTGGAGTCTTGTACCTGAGATCCATAAATTCTATAGGAATCTTTCTATCTGGTACCGACTTTGTTTTATAGAAGCACTTTCTGCTTTTATTAAGCTAGCGAGGCAATGAAAGAAGTGCTTGCTGTAGGCCTGGCTGATCAGTAATGACAGTATGGAGTTCTAGGAGTGTAGGTCATCCATGACCTCCTATATATCCGGAGGTTATGGAGGCTGCCAATCTACTTTAATTGGGTGGTAGCCTTCTGTGACCTGCCTTTCATTTCCCCTAGAAAATACCATATAAAAATACGGAGACCAAACTTATTATATCCACCAGTGGTTAAATGAATAAGCCATTTACTTCCAAGAGAGAGCCTTGAGACAGAAGGAGTGTTATGATAAAAAAAAAAAAAAAACAACTATCAGTTTCTCAGGATTGTTTCAAATAGTTTTATAACAAAACAACCATTTTCTAGAAGGTAGGACAAAGAACCAGAGAGTTGGCATATTATATATGCCCTGTGAGAAATATAAACAAAACAAGGAATGGCACAACCAGGTAAGAAATTCTCAGAGAAAATTAATAAATAAAATCTAAGATCTATTCTTTTGAGAGAAAGAAATTTATTTTTTGAAATTTAGAGAGCATAAATTTTCAAAAATTCAGATCCTCTCAGCTATGAAACATGGGTATGGCTATAAAGGTATAAATATATTCTCATATTTTCCAAATAATCTGCCAAATGGTCAAATATTGAGGGTGATCTTAATTAGTTAGGACCTACCTAATTCTGGTCTCAATTTTCAAAATATACTGAAAGGATTTAATGAAAAAGATTACTAATACAATCACTCAATAAGTGTTAGAAATTGTTATTTTCTCTTAAAATTTTTAGATTCTTCCTAGTCTTTCCAAGGAAATGAAAATAATTTATCTGGTATATGGAAAACTCCAGAGTGATAAATAAGAACCCCATTATGAGTTGTTTTATCTGGCTAAGGCTTCAGATATTAGAGATGCTTTTAGCCCAATAATTTTTTCATTTATATCATTTGAAATTTGAAAATATATTGGAAAATGTATACCAAAGTGATTTGATAAATTGAGTTTTTTCTGTGTGCTTGAAAGTAGCCCCAAACTAATATTTTAATATTATAAGTGTCTGATGAATCCAACTCAGGAAATGAATGTACAGTGTGTTAAAATTCAGTGGTAGTAGCAGCAGAAGAAAGTCCAAAGTCCTGGAAGATCCTGGTTCTTTTTTTTTCCCCAGACACCTAGAATGTATTTTATTTACTTTTTTATTTTTTAGCAGTTTAGAAATTTATTCTGTGATTTTCTAAAGTAATGTGAAGAGCTGATTACTTGCTAATAGTCCTTACACCCCTTCCAAATCAGAATTTACTATTGATGATATCATCCTCTTACTGGAATTAGAACAAAGGTAGGAATATTCACTAGAGAGGTGCAGGGACAACCTTCAGTGGTGCATGATGAGGGTTATTATGCTCTGGACAGTAAGCTCACTGTCTTACTCTATGTGTTTGTACAGTTAGTCACCTTTCAGAAGTTGTTGTTGACATTTCCTTCACTTATACAAACTACAAAAAAAAAATTTTTCAGGCTAATTGATGTGCATGTGTACAGGCCTATGCTTAAAGGAGACTGCTGGATTAAGATCATTGAATCAATCATGAAAGTCCCGTGTTGGACCACCACAATAATCCATTAAAAAGTTGCTTTGCATTTGCAGCCTGTATTCAATGACCTGAATACATCTATAGATTTGTTAAATTGAATGGATTTACTTTGCCCTTAAAATTCTGGAAAATTAAGCAAGTACTTTGAATTTGAAAGAAAATGTTATTGCCCTTCTCCATAAATGCTGGGTTAAATTCAATGAATGCTTTGCAATACTAGTCATTTGAAACAAAAATGCAAATAGAAAGCTTGTTTCAAACTTCTCTTAATAAAATAGATTACTGTGCAATGGTAAAATCAATGTTATTGATCTTATCTATCCTTCCAAGTAACAAACTTCAACTCCTATCACATCTGTTTAATTTGACCTTGAATAAGATTTGGGGAAAAATCAATTCCTTGATTTAAACCACAAACACTAAATACAAACAGTACAAGGGAGAAAAGGAACATGTTGACTGAACCAATTGCCTCACCAAAGGAAGTCTGAATTCATTTTATTGAATCTAATCTAGGCTGTATAATTTATCTTTGTGTGTTCATTTAACAACTTTGTGGTTAGTAATTTTGTTCTCCACAGTCAGCCAAGTATCTTGCTGTGGCTATTTCTAAACTAAAACAATATTTGGAGTTTGTCAATGATAAGATTGTAAATCCCATTGATTTATTCAGGACTAATATTTGAAGACCATGCAATTGAGTAATGCCCTCCCATTGTTAAAGTTATAAAATTGCCTCATTGAAAAGGAGTGCTTTCAATAATAATTACTGACCAATGATTCCATAGTCCCAAAAGAATTAACTGGATTACATGTGAGATTTTGCCATATAACATTTCCTGGCATGCAGTTAAGTTATAATTCTAGTGATTTACAGTTTGAATTATAGCACCACAATCAGCTTATATGTTCCACACTTAAATTTCTTGTTGTCCATGACTTTGAATAGTCATTGTAATGAGGAAAATCCAAACTTACCCTCAATGTAAACAGGAGATTATTTTTTTGAAATATTGAATACTATATACTTTTAAAATCCACTTCCAAATAAGCCTAACTATTTTAAAGAAAGAAGAACATATATCTATACCATTAAATAAAGCATGATATTTGTGTATTTGAAAGGTTTTTTAGATAAATATTATCAGATATATAAAAAATAAAATGTCCGTAGAATGCTATAAAGAAATTATTTTAGTGGTGTTGATTTTTTTTCACTTATAGTTCAGTTCTGAAAACATCTCCCACTAAGGATACTTTAAAATCTTCTTTGTTACTGATTACCAATTTATTTTTATCGACTTTTTATTTTATCTATAGTCACTTTTTGTTCCAAAAAAGATATTTTAGCTTATAAAAAATTAAAAATATTTAAATCTCTAAAACTAGGTAAAAAATGGAAGAGAAAATAAAGATCAATACAGTAAATAAAACCAGGAAAAATAATGGTTTATGAATTTTTATTTTATTATTTATTATAAAATATATTACTGTTAATACAATATTGTTTTTGAGCATGAACTGTGTAAAGAATATACTTAATTATAAATTTGTTTAAAGGTATGCATATTTTGTAAAAAAGAAATATAGAATAACCTGGAAACTCACAATAGGCACAAAACCTATTTAATTATAGAGAGATATAAAATTGGGTCCTTAAATTGGTCATGTGAATTCCTACAAAATTTTTTATAAAGCATGAAAGAAAACACATATTCATTGACGGAGAGATTATTATAGCGGGAGAACATAGAATTGTTATATTTGATTCTAGGTAGCACAGGTGCTACTCTTAAATCTACACATTCTGTCTTAAAAAGTTTTACTGAAATACAATTTGAAATAATTAACTGAGTTAAATGGTTCTTGACAAAAGTAGAAAGACTGCCAGAAATTAAATAATACAGACTGATGATGATTTGACAATTTCAGCAATGAAAATTCTAAAGTTAAGTCATCTGGCTTACTGTGAAGACCTAATAATTTCTCTTTTCTTTTTCTAGGTGTCCTGAAAGCCTTCGGCCTGAAACCGTGAGGCCTTGTCTGCTTCCTTGTAGGAAAGACTGTATTGTAACACCATATAGTGACTGGACACCATGCCCCTCCTCCTGTAGAGAAGGTATGGTCTGCAGAGTTTCTTCAGCTTTTTCCTTAGAAAATGCATTCAACAGAACTTCCAGATTCTTCTGACCAAGCCTTGTTTGTGGGTCTTTTCTCGTTACTGCTGGGAAAGGTATCAATATCCTCTGGGTGACTTATGCAAATAACTGAGCAAATTTTCTTTCAGTGTCACAAATAATACCCTCTCCTGTTTTCTTACAGAGGGCTGTTATAGTCCTGGTTTGGCATGAATGCCATAACATTTTGGTTTTCCTCTGGAAATATATTGCGTTAGAGTACCAGACAAATGAGTTTTATACCAAAAACTGACTTGAAATTTTATGATATAGATCAAAGTGAAAGCATTCTAGACTTTGTTATATTAATAATGTTTGATTTTACTTAATTCTAAAAGACTGTATACTGGTCTTCCAGATTCTAAAAATAATATACAGTGATCTTATCAGTACACATGGCTTCCAACCTACTTACTGGCAAGAAATAGCATGAGACTGGATTTGCTACAGATTGAATTATGTAGCTCCAAGGATGGAAATAAAGGAAGAGAAAATTGACCAAATTGTTTCTCTGCCAATGCTTAATGTGCCATGAGGTATTTACAAGATGAGTATTTGTTCTCAGTTTAGGTTGGTTTTGCTTTCATGACTTACAAAGTCTCTTTAGTGTCATGGCAGATCCTTTGATAGTTTTTTCTTTACCTTGGAGAACAGAGGCTTTTCTCATTGCTGCTGGGGAAGATATCAGAGTACTCCAGGTGACTTCTGTAATGACTGAGCAAATTTTCTCTCAGTGTCACAAATGACACTGTCTCCTATTTCTTATTTTGCTCTCCCAACAGACAGAGCTAATGTTTCTTAAATTCCTTTTATGTTTGTGTTTTATCTATGCTTCTCGACTCACTAAAGAAATTTAATTAACAAGTATCTAACTGACAAAAAGTTATTTAATCCTTTAGAGCATATAAATTTAATACTGGATTATTTTTACAATATGATTAGCATTTCATAAAGTTGACACATAAGTCTCTTTTGTTTTTATGCTTTTTCTATCAAATAGCCTTAAATACCAAACTGAGCAAGACTAGGAAATTTTTTTATTTTAAAAGTCTTGAGCATCTATGTAGCTTTTGAGGAAAAAGAAAGGTATTAGCTTTAAAAATGTTAATGACACAAGCTTACTAATAAAACAATGTGATTGTCTGACATTTTTCAAATTTTCTTCTTATTCCTTTATATTCTTTTATTAAAATCTAAATAACATATGATGTTCTTTCGCTTGGTCACAACCAGCAAGAGCATTATGCTTTCATATAGGTTAGTATTTCTGCGTTAATTGTTGCTTATTCATCAGGGTGGTGAAAAAGTTATCATATAAAATTAATGTACTTATAAATTTTATTCTTAATGTTTTTCACTTTTTGTTTTGCTTTAGTATAAGTTACTTAGAATTTCAAAACATGTCATATTTATAACCAAATGATTAATAATTTAACACAAATTTTAAGTGAAATTTTTGAAAGTAAGAAAAGCCTGTCTTTTCCTTATGTTGGATAGGTCCTTGTATTATGTAAAGTACTTTAAAATTAAATTGATCTTTTCTAAAGCATTTCAAGGAAATAAAGTTAAAAAAAATAAATTTTCCATTAAATTGATTCTTGAATAATCACTCATAAAAATAGGGAATCAGGCCAGGTTCAGTGGTGCATGTCTATAATCCCAGTGGCTCAGGAGGATGAGGCAGGAGGATCCTGAGTTCAAAGCCAGCCTCAGCAAAAGTGAGGTGCTAGGCAACTCAGTGAGACCATGTCTCTAAATAAAATAAAAAATAGGGCTGGGGATGTGGCTCAGTGGTCCAGTGTCCCTGAGTTCAATCCCTGATACTCTCCCACACACAAAGAAAAAGGGAATCAGGTAAACTTTTCTCATCTCTAAACCTTAATTGGAGCTATTTTAATAGCCTATTAACTTTTTTCTGTGAGATTGTTTTTGTTTTTGTTTGTTTGTCTGTTACACAAGAGCCTTATGCATACCAGACCTGGGTGCTACTACTGTGCTATAGTCCTGTTCCCTGTAAGTTCTTGAAACTTCTTTTGTTATATATTATATGTGTCTGTAAGTGTCTGTAAGTAAAAGTAAAATATAAACAATACAATATTTTATTCATAAAAATACTATAATTAAAATTCAATTAGCATAAACTCTAAATTTGTGGATTTCTTAGTGAAAAGAACATGATTTCCTCCTTTCTGTTTGATCATTAATAATATTAAAAAATTATGTGTTAAAATGTGACAACTCAAAGAATGGACTTTTAAAAAACATTTTTAGTAAACTGAACAAATAAATAAATAGTGAATTCTATACATTTGTTAACTAAATAATTACTCATTTTTACATGTATACATGAATACTTATTGAATCATTTAATACTGTTTATAATTAAAACAAAAAAAAATGGTCTTATAAAGAAAATAGTCCCTGACTTAAAGGAAACTTTGGATTTCATTTGAAATGTAGTACTCTTCTATATAGACCAGATAATGTAGAGCTTGTGTGATTCAATAACAAGATTTAGTGGTCAAACAGCTCTAAAGAAGGGAAAGGAAAAATCATTGTGAGAGCGAATGTTAGGGAAAATATTATTGAAAGGGAGATGGATGAGATCTTTTTGAAAGAGGAACCACATAAATTCCAAGCATGGGGGCATCAGGAAATTCCCAGGTGACCATGTAAAAAGTACAGTGTTTTTAGAGAGAGAGTGTTTTGGGGAAAGTGCTTATGTGAAATTAGAAAGGAGAATGGAAGCAACTAATGGAAGAGTGAATTGAACTTACTCTGATACACAGCAGAACATAACTTTCTATTTTTGGACACAGAAATGAGTAGTAGACTTCATGATATTACAGAACAAGTGGACTTTGAATCAGCAGATCTGGTTTGAACACCTGGCTTGGCCACTTGGCAGCCAGATTACCATAGACAAAATACTATAGTCCTCCAAGTCTTGGTTATAAAACCTGTAAGTCATTCCATGGCTCAAATGAACTAATCCATGGTAAAGCTCTCTATTCTTTAGCCACCATTTAATTAATATATTATCTGTCATCTATCCCATCATGGTTACAGGCTCCTATAGGAAAGGCACAGAAGCCTGTGTGTGGTTATCATCTGGTAAATGTTTTAATTTAGCAAGCTTAATGCAGTCTTTCTGAGAAGTTTAATTAGATATATGTGGGAAAATAATTTAGATAATAATAAAACTTATGGATCAAAATTTTTAACCAGTTATTCATTGGAAATTTTCTGATAAATTTACTGATTTTTATTGTTGTTGTTGTTGTTGTTAGTAACATTAACAGTAGTAGTAGTAGTAGTAGTAGTAGTAGTAGTAGTAGTAATTGTAGAAGGGACAAGGAAGCTTTACCACTGAGCAACATTCCCTGTCCTTTTCTAAAAAAATGGTTATTACCAAGAGTCTTGGTAAAGTGTGATCCTCCTGCCTCAGAGTCCTGAGTTGCTGGGATTACAGGTGTGCACAAACATGCCCAGCTACGAATTATTTTTAAAAGCTCCATTGCCTCCTTAAAGATCACATATATAATTTGAAGCAATCATTTTTTTTAATTCTATAACAGTTTTCAAGAAAATACAATGTTCCAAGGGTGATTTTAAATATAAGGGATTAGCAATCCCCAGGAATCTAATATTCTTGCTCTTAGGAAACTTTCATCCTAGTGGTATGGGAAAGACAAGGCCCAGAATTATTCTTCTAATCCCTCAACGAGTGCAAAGGAAGATTATCCACTGGCCTCAAGGATCAAGTGTAGGGAAAGGGATTGAGAAAAAAGAAGTGTTATCATTTTTGAGAGGGAAAAAATAGGCAACTTGGTAATATGTGGTAGAATTTTTAAACATCAGTGCTCATTCAGTCATATATGGGAAGAGATATCTAACACAGTTGTCAGAGTTTCTCCAGCCATATTCAGCTGCCTTGTTACAGGAAAACATTGGGAAAATAATTACTTTTGATTAGTTAGGGCTTTCCCAGTACAGTTCAAGAAAGGGAGAGAGAACAGAGTCAAAAGTGTTTGTAAAGAGTACTTAAAATAGTAATGAAGAATGAAAACTAACTTGAATCAGGATGGAAGTGAAGTCATGAAGATGTGACTAGATTGTGAAAATGTAATAGGAAAATGAATAGCAATCTCATTGAATTTGAAAATTTTAGTACGAAAATATTTAAAGTAGTCAAATTGGAAGGTGGGGAGGAATGGTCAGAAAGTTAGGTGTTCAAAGATGATACTATATAGTTACTGATCATAATTATGTCAAGGGATGAATAGTGGAGTGAATAACTGACATACGATATAAGGAGGTATAATAATTTAGAGTCCAGTGCCTTAAATGGAGGAAGTCATGTGGATATCAAAGACCCCAAAGTGAGGACAGAAGCGGAAGAGAAAGGATTATAGTGAACAACCATCTAAGGTCACCAACTAACCAAGTATCTCAAGGCAATAGCCACAAGGTTGATAGCTGATGGTAAGGTTAATGTCAGGAGCTTAGAGGAGCAGGAGATTCTTAAAGGTAAAAGGATGATAAAAGAAGAGGAAATCGCTGAATAGAACCAGTTTCCACTGGCAAAGAATATGAAAGCAACTTTCCAAGAAGAGATTGAAGATGAGAGACCATGTATCCCAATGGATGCAGTAATGGAAGGGTGAGAGGATGGATGATAACTTGTATCAGATTAGCATGTAGATAGTGTGGTGAGTCTGGGAAATGATGAAATGACTAGCAGGCTGCAGAGGGTCCATTTCTTGTGGTCATGTGACAAATAATGAGTTCAATTGGGCTGGTCTCTTCAGGGATGAGGTTAACTGCTGTAAGCAGAAATTTATGGTGTCGCTTGGAGACTAATATGCCCTGGATTTCCTTTGGACAAGGAGTGCAAGAGCCAACTCAGGAAATCTGCTTGTAAGGAAGCAAGAGTTTTTATGAAAGGTGGAGTTCTATTTGGCTAGCCAAGGTCATCTCCCTAGGAACAGGAGATCAGTCCTGCCTGCTTTATTTGACAACTCTATGATCAGTCTCCTAAAACAAAAAATTTTCAGAAACCCTAAACCTAGTCATTTAGATTTAAAAACAATAACTCTAATTGTGTATGGAGGAATTTTTTTTTTAATTCTGTGGGTGATGGAAGGGTTAATTATTGGATGACATTGCCAAGAACTTTTATGGTCCTGAAAAAGCATTTTCTGTTTTGCCTGCAGATTGCTATATCTGAGCAAAAGGAGACAATGGTATTATAGAAAGCTAGTCTTTTGGTGTTGTGCAGAAAGTAAAGCAATGGCATGAAGTTAATTTTTCCATTATTTGGTAAGAAATGGGAATAATGCAAGTGTTTCTGAAGTCACACTGACTTCCACACTTTAAAAAATGCTGAACAAAGTTGAGTGTTCAAGGATAGGTAATAGCAATTAAAAAATTAATTCAGGGATAAGGTGGGGATATTTTTAATTTAATTCTGCACATAAAGTCTAAATTTTATAAAAGTTTTGAGCTTGTTAAAATGTGGAGCTACTCTCCTTTGTAAAATCATTTAAAAGAGATAAAATTACACTATAGTTTTGTAGAAAGTGAAACAGAATAGTTTTAGGATTCCAAGAGGAACACATAGAGTTACTTGAAATGTGATTCAGTTCTCTCCCAAGACATGCCTGAAAAATCAATGCTGATAAAGATCAGTATTGAATAGAATGTAGTATGATACTCAAACCAGCATTTGTTAACTTTTAACTTTTTTTCATAAATTTTCACAAAGGGCCTTTGAAAGTAGAAATAATTTCTGTGTAGAAATTATTTGTAACTTGACTCTTAAAAAATAAGTACTTTTGATCAAATAATATATTTGGTTGTACAAATTCTGTTTACACTTTTCTTATTTCTCATTGCATATATTGCCTTGAAACCTAGATACCTCATCCCGTGAATCAATCATACACTAGAATTACTCCCAAAGATCTGAAAACTATCTTTACATTTTGCTTCTTACATGAAACAGTACCCTTTGAATTTCCTGTCACTATGCCACTCCAACCAGCTATTATTCCCACTTCTAGCTTAATGAATCTATTTTACCTGACCTTTAAATCCTTCATTCTAGTAATTTCTGTGTTAAAATATGCCTCGAATGTCTTAAGATATCTAAAAAAATGCCATAACTGTTAGAAATTATGTACCCTCTGAATCTGTGTCCTCTAGCATCGCATAATTAGTTTCTTCTATTCCTATCCTAGATAGGTATTTTCAAGTATAAACACAAAAGGCAGTTGCCTTTCATATTCTTTATATTTTCATATTTCCTATGGAGGGAAAATGATTTAGCTAATTTTTGGTTAATCCTCAATGCACATACTTAATATACTCTTTATTACATTAAGGGAATTACATTTCTATCTAGAAATAAAAGATATTAATATTCTGGTTAAAAAATGTGAAATAAATGTGTTTGCTCTTTCTGCAAATATTTATTAAACACTACTGTGTATGATTACTGTTCTACATACTGAAACACAAAGATGAATGGAAACTCTATACATATATTAACTGCACATCATAAATTGGGAATAAATACATATAGAAAACTGTGAGAGCAAGACCTTTCCATTTTTCTTATTTAATGTGTGTTATGGCTCTCCCTTTTTCTGGGCTCTGATCTGAAACCTCCATAACCTGACTGAGACCTATACTGCGATTACTTTGAGTCAGAAGTGATTTATTTATAACTGTAACCTGAGAAGACACAGACCTCCCCACACACTGGGTAGAAGCATGGATGTCATGACACTTCCTGTGTAACCCCACTAAACTTCCTCTCTGTGTACTGTGGCTTTGAAGCATTCCACTTTAATCAGGTCACAATCTCTATATTGTGGGCTGCACAGGGTAAGGAATCTGAGCTTTTTATAATAATAAATAAGTTGATATTGAGGAATCAGTTAAGGATGTAAAAAGAATAGAGTCTTTTTTGTGTAAAACCTTGAGGTTGGTGATAAGAAGGCACTTAGAAGAATATTTCAGAGTTGTACAGTAGGTCATATTTTTGTTTTTGCAAGTAGAAAACAAAACAGAATCAAAACACTAACATTTGGTCACTGCTTCCAAAATTGAAACAGCCATCTCTATGTATGAGGTAACATCTAAGCAGTGAATGAGTAGGAGCTTCGGTGCTGAGCTCATTGTCCCCTCCTGTTCAGGAATTCCTTGGTCATAATCCCATGTCTAAGTTCTATGCATGTTGAGAAGGGTTGGGGAGTGCTTCCTTGAAGAATTTTGACCACTTTGAAAACTAAAGACCACTTGTGCATTTTTTCTCTTTTTCCTGTTAAAATAATACAAACAACTCCATCCTTCTGCCAGTGCTGAACAGATGATGAGAATGGTCACTTAGTGCTTGTACTATCAAAAAGATTAAAGATAGATCCTAAACATCAGACACAAGAAAAAATAATATAAATTGGAAAAGAAGGGTAAATCCAGGTAGGGACTGGGGGAGGAGTGAAGGGGACAGAAAGATTCCATGAGAAAATCAAGTTAAGGTAAGCCCTTGCAATTGAGAAAATTAGCTCTGAGATTCTCATGACCAAAGTGAAAAATAGAAACATAATGGATTCTTAGAAGATTATCAAGGGAAACAAAATTCTTTTCTAGCTTTTAATTATTAGAGGAAATTATCACCTGGTCTTAAAATAGGAGACACTTGGACAGTACAGTAGATGAAGACTACATTAGCAATTTATTAAAATTCCTATTGACATTTCTTAGATTTTCCCTGAATAAATCATATTAAACATATAAAAGTCAGAGCTGGCATACAAACTAGTATTGTTACAATAAAAAGCCCATGACACTATTTCAAATAATTTAATTCTCTATTGCCAATATTTCCAGCTCCCAATTCCCTACTCCATTACTTATAGTATTCCAATTATTCATTAAAATAGTTTAATATAAATCATTAATAGTACAGCTTTCCCCCCACAGTGGGAGTAATCCTAAATAGTTGCATGTGAACCCAGAATCTTAAATTGGGACAAGACAGACAAGGTCGTCTTCCAGGAGATTCCAAACCTGATTCTTCATCACCATTTCTTGGCAAACTTTTTAAAAATCAGACTTAATAGCTGTATGTATAGGCCCAGCAATCTGTTGTTTGTATTGTTGTTGTTTTAAAACAGGTTCTTCTGTGTAGTCAGACAGTCAGGAATCACTGATCTGGTCCACTCTCCCATGCAGTGCGTGCATCCTCTCTAATAATGGTTGGAGTCAGTTGGCCTGACCATGTTAAGGGACATCTTGACTTCAGGAGAAAGGACAGTCCATTATGGGAAAGTTTAATTGTCAAACTGCATTTTTTTTTACAATCACAATAACTACAAATATTTCATTTCACTTCTGATTAAACTTTGTTGGGGGCTGTTAACCTTTAAAATTCCCCTGTAGCAAATATCTATGAAGCAAATATTTCATGTTCTCACAAAAGAATGTATATGCATCAGGAAATTATGTTATCTAACAACATAATGCCTAAGGGACTTCTTTTGTAAGTGAACTGTATCTGTGACTATTCATCCTTAGAAGGTATATAAATTATATGTTTAAATATGTTTTATTAAAATTAGCAAATCCTATCCATCTGTTTCTAATTTTTAAGATGTTGAACACCCTTTCATCAATAATACTGTCAAATGGATAGCTTTGTTGAAGGTAAATCTTAACTTTTTCCATTTTTAAAACATAATTTGGAGTTATTTACTTACAGTAATTATTACAGTTTCTGACTGCTTCTCTAAAAATATCTGCCTCAAGGACCTCACTTTCATTTCACTACTTAGAGCCTGATGTTTAGAATGTGACCTGAATTGAAGATCTTTGTCTGTTTAACATGAATAATAAATGACTGGAATAATTTACAAGTTATACATTTCAAATTAAGTGAATAACAAAGAAATAAAATTTCACATTATAACATTGAATGTATCCTCCTACGGAAGATTCATTATGTGTGTATGAGTCCCATGTGGTAAACAAGGCTACGTGAAATGGCATGAAAATAAACTTAAGGTAGAAGAAAATAATTTAATTAGATCTGTCATGTTTCTCAAGGGGACAGAAATATACAAAAGAGCAATTACTCTGCATATTAGGAAGACTGAGGAACTTTTCTTCATTCTTCAAATTTTAAAATGGAAATTAATTGGCTTTTCAATATAAATGGTCTTTGGGAGAATTGATTGGACTAGCTGAGGCCTCTCATTCAGGAATGTCAAAGCACAGGTGGCTTAGACAATACAATTTCTTCTCACAGAGTGGTTGGAGACTCTTTTATCCATGCAAAAGTACAAAGGTTAAAAGGCTGCCTCATTCCAGGTGACTTGGGAGTCAGGAAGCAGTCTCGGCTTCGGGTCATTATTCAGCTGCCAGCCAATGGAGGCCGGGACTGCACGGATCCTCTCTATGAAGAGAAGGCCTGTGAGGCCCCTCAAGTGTGTCAGAGCTACAGGTAATAGAGAAAAACCAAAGCAAGTGATGCCCTGAGAAGGATCTCCAGTCCATATGCTTCCAGACAGGGTAGAGAGGAAGCCAACACTGCTTCTTCCTCAGACTCAATGCAGTTTGGGATGTTTATGGCTGTAGCTGCCATTCCTACCTCTGTGGAGTAGAGCTGTTCCACTTCTGAAATTATCTCCTGGGAGGCAAATGCTTGTGTAAATTTCCCATCTGTGTTATTAGCTCCAGTGGTTAGGGGAAATGTCTTAGGTTGATATAAAGTATTTGAAATGCAAAGAAGTGGTTAATAATTATGAAACACATATGCTTTAGGAAGCCATTTCTATTTCACGTAGGAGAATAGCCTAAGCATTTCTCCCCTGGCTCCAAAGAGCACCTGTTTCTCATAAACAGTGGTATTCTGGCTCAGGAAATGACATTGCTATGTCAATGATGCTAGTAAGATGTCTGTTCAGTGCATCTGTGATCATCCCAAAGAAAAGCGTGGTTATTGAAGCTCTATATCAACTTGATAATTTATTAGAGAAATTTGGATTCCTTGCTATTCAGACTTAAAGTTTCTAATTGAAACTTGATGTAGTGCACAATTGCAATCCTGACAACAAGTGAAATACTGTGGCATCAATTAATGGAACATGCAATCACCAAATAATAATTTAAATGGAAATTTATGGCATATTTGCCATCTTAATACATCTGTCTTTCTGAGATGACAAATAGTCTACCTGTATATTTACATCATGAACATTGTCAACTAGTAGTGCAAACTTAATCATTTTTGAAACTGGTTTTTGTAAAATCACATTAAAATTTCAGTTGTTGAACTACTCCTGGAGTACTATAGTCAAAAGAGCATTATACAAAATACTCCTGACCCGAATGCAGTTTCATAACTTGAATGAAAATAAACACAACTTACTTAAATGGAATACACTTCTGGTACTACCTGGTACACCTCTTGGCAGTCTGAATGATTAAAAAGTCTAAATGCCCTTTATAGCTCTCTGCAGAGTTCATTTCTATAGAATTGGGAATGAAATACTCTTGTTTTCGATGCCATAAAAATATATATTTATATTTAATGCCTTAACAAATATATACATTACACTTAGATAGGACTCATCATAGTTGCAAACCTCCTATTTACAATGGTCAAAGTCATTTCTTTTGCTGCTGACTCTCTGTGATTTTCCTTCTTCACTGGACTTCTGTTCTTTATTCATAGATGGAAGACTCACAAGTGGCGCAGGTGCCAGTTAGTCCCTTGGAGCATACAACAGGACATCCCTGGAGCACAGGAAGGCTGTGGGCCTGGTCGACAGGCAAGAGGTGAGAGGCCCTACTCTGCAGTTGATTTGCTTTTCATTTCTCCAATATCCATAGTGATGCATTTTTCACTATGACACCATTCTAAACAATGCCAGCACCAAGGAACTTCTCTGTTTAAATTTTGCTCTTTGGTGTTAGCCCATAACTACTGAATTTTACCCTAATTTGTACCTGGAAGAAGACCAGACCAAACTTTTGGTTATGGCAAAGATAGTACATTGAAGCTTGGTTTGTTTATTTGTTGTTATTGTTGTTGTTGTTGTTGGTGGTGGTGGTGGTGGTGGTTTTTAGATCAAATTATTCCACATTATTTCCCACCTTAACAATTCATAAAGTTCACATACATGCTTGCCTATATACATCATATAGGTGTATGTGTACATTTGTGCAATGTACTACAATTAGATATCTTTCCCAGAAGTTCTCAGCAATGACATCCTTAACATTGTCATGGCTATCCATGATCCTAAGCATATTTGGTACTGGTTTTTAAATGAGAGATTTGTTTACTCAAAACCTGCAATATGAGAACTTAAATTGACCTACACTGCTATATTATATGGAATATTACAGAAATTAATGATGAAAAATTTTCACAATTGCTACAATTATTTACTCGATTTTATAGGAAATAGTTAAATTTTAAGCTTTGGAACATGTTGTCTATACATGTAGCAAATTCAGTCTTCAGAGAATTTGTGATTTTTTTTATTCATAGCATGCAATTCCTGCTATGTACTTACAGTGTAGCTTAATATGCAATTGAATGTGCATTTACCTTTTTTAACTTATAAAGATATATTTTGTTTCCTCATTGATACTTTCTTTTTTTCATGATGATAGTAGTCTGAACATACAGAACTGAATTTCAATTTGTTCTTACTTTATGTGGGACCCCAACTTCCTTTAGAACTAGAAACACTTGATCTTTCTTTTGAGAACAGTTACTTCATTTTGGAAAGGACAAGAAACTTATAATATTCACTTGAAATATAAATATAAATTTAGAAGTCTTTGCTTGAAATATAAAAATTTTTATAAATAATACTGACTACCTAGTGATTTTTAGGATTTTATTTGCATAGTTTACTTTGTGTGTCTTCTACCACCAAATTTGGTAAAAAAATATCCCTTAGATATATATATAATTGAAAGTCATTCTCATTTCAGATTATTCTTCAAGAAACTGATGTAAGCTTTTCTTGTCATGCAGTACTAAATCCTTCTTGAACGGAGCCTATGTTTCCGTACATCTGTGGTTTTACATAGTTTATAACAAAGAGAGTCATGAGTTCGTGATCAGGAAACAAGGTTTAGTTTCAGTTCTCTTCCAAAAATGAGTTTTGCTTATCTCAGTTTAATTAGATGAAAAAAAAAGAAGAGAGATTTGGCTCAAATGTTCTTTTAGGATTATTCCCATTTTCATCCTATCATCTATGCACAAGTAATGGCCAGAGATCAGAGGGTGAAATTAAATTAGGTAAGATAGAGGAAAGACATATTTTTACAGACTTCCACTGTAGGAAATATAAGATATGGTAGAGGCAGTGCAAGTGTGAAAACATCTTCAGTTCTAAACTGTTACTTCAAAGCTGCACAACCTTGGATGATTCATTTCCTCTCTTTGAGTTTTAAGCCTTACTGCACTGGCTACATATTGTCTTCGTTACGTGGAAACTCCTTACCCCCCCCCCCCACACTGTAAGTATATAGCCCTGATGAATGTGCACAATATGGCATAGGGCACGAAAGCAACAATATTAACTTCTGGTTTTTTGACACTCAGTCTGGGCCAAAAATTATTTTTTCTGTGACAATTGTTGATGTTTTTATTTCCACATCTGAAAACCTTGATTCATTCCTATTCTGGGTGCCTTCTTTGTTGTATCTAGTACTCTTACCCACTCCCTCTGTGGAGAAGGTCTTTGATTTCTTTGGTTACTGCTTTCTAGAATTTCTTTCTTTGGTTTTCTATCACTGGTGCCTCTTCCTCCATCTGTCCTTAAACAGTACTTTCTAATGTTGGCATACTTGTTAGACTGCTTACTCTATCTCTGTGGTCTTATCATTTCTAGGCTGAGAAGTGAAAGTTGCACTATAACAAGCAATTTCCCAAACATATACTCAAAGAATTTCTTCAACTTTCATGCAGAGATCACCTTTTTTGTTGTTGTTATTATTTCAGTAGTCAGAAATTTCTTTTTCTTAGAGCTTTCATTTCTGCATAACATGAAATGGAGAGAATATCTTTTGCTAACGGCAAGAAGGCAAAATTTTCTTACTTTAGTGTTTATGGCTGTTTTCAGAATTTTGCATGATCAACCTGCCAGAGTCTCCCTGTTTTCAACTTTGTCCTTTTATTATCAGAGACAACAAACAAACAAACCTGGTGCTGTTTTTTAATGACTAAAATAATTGCACAGTAACCATCAATCAGCAGAGACTGTAGACTCCACACCCCTGCCCTCTCCAGTATGTCAGACTCTAATTCAGCTACTCATTCTCTGTGATTGCATTCTGAAGGCTGTGCAGAAAGAATCATGAGTGTTATGAAAGGGTAAAAGTTTCAAACCAGGAGCTTTCATTCATTAGGGAAATGAAGTCACTCCTCATTCAACAAGTAGGAGTTAAGGCTAAAAGTGAACAACTACAAAATCAATCATTTGACACTGAAGACCTAAGAAGAGACTTAAAAAATGGGCTGGGATTTCACTTGCACCTTCTTGTTAAAATGAGTAGAAAAGAGAAAAAGAAAAGAAAATGAGATGAACTCTACCAGCTAAGCATAGAAAGCAAGGAAAACAATAAATAAGTTCTCAGAATAGTGGGTAGATTGAAGCTCCCAAGATGGGATCTGGAGCCTGGGACAATTTTGTGGAGAGCTATAAATGTCAGGATCAGTATTTTAGACCTTGTTCAATAAGTGGTAGGAGCAAAGACCTGATGAAAGTGGTGTTTCATCTGTCAACATGTACAGAATAAATTAGGAAGATAAGACACATGGGCCTGGATGTCAGCGACGATGTCATTGGAGTGGTGCAACGTTGCAGTAACAGAGACTCCCACTGGAACCGCAGTACAGAAATGGGCAAAACGCAATTAATTTTGGACTTAAGATAGTAGAAGGTACTTTTAGGACTTAGTGGCAGGTAATACAAGGAATGATAGAAATAAGAGTCAAAGTAGAACATGATTCTTTAACTCCAATATTTTCAGCTTGAGAATAACTTTATTGGTGAAAATTCTTAGACCTGAAAGTAGAGCCAATTTTGGAAAGCATATTTTTTATATTTTGCATTTGAGGCCATGGCAGGGTAGCCAAGTGGAAAAATCTAAGTATGCATTTAAAAATGTATAAATGTAGCTATAGATAGCAGAAGAAATTTGAGCAACATTTGCATAAAGTAGTTGGATGAAGTCATACGAAAAACTTAGGTCTCTAAGGTTTATTATATATTTGAGGAGAAGTGGTTGTTTAATTTTACCATTAGTAGATTTCTTTTTCCTCTAGCCTATTCACATGTGTAGGGTCTTTAAACATTCCTTTTATTCTAAATAATTTAACTTAAATGCTATTAAATTTAAATTACTGGTTTTTGCTTGCACTGAAAATGACACCATATGAATTAAAATATGACCATTACCATTTTATCTTACTTTACTATTCTGTGATTCTAAAGATATAAATACTTATTGCATGGCTTCTATCAAATTATTTGTCTGGACCAGAGGTTAGTAAATCCAGCCTGCACTCTGCTGTTGTTTTGTCATTAAAGTGTTATTTGAAAACAGCTTCATTCATTTCTTTGCATTTCCTATGGCTGATTTCAAGATACAATGTAGAGTTGAATAACTGCAAGAGATAATATGATCCAGGAAGCCAAAATATTTTTAAAAACTCACCCTTTACAGAAAAAGTAAAGAGTGATCTAAATTCAGAAGCATGTAATAAATGTTATAGTCACAACTGCTAATAGTACTTAAGCCATTACTCAATAAGAACAGAAAGTTCTTGGAGTTTATTTTACCCTTTGGGAAGACATTTCCAAATTCAGTTCAGCAATAAAGGAACTATTTTACAGTTAAGAGAAAAGTGGACTTTAAAAACTGTAAAGGTAGTAAACTGTCTTTTGGATAAAATTGTTGTTTTTTTTTTTTTTTTTTGCAGGGGTTAGGAATAAAATGTTGGCTTTCAGAAAAAAAATTAAAATTAAGAAAGAGTGAATGGATAAACCTGAAAATTTGGGGGATACGGAAAATAAGAGAGAAAAATATTCTAGGGTCTCATAATTCTCCTGTGTAGAAGATGATAAATCATATGCAATAACTGGACATCAAATGTTACTTACTAGGAATGTATAAAAAAGAAAGAACATGTTTCACATAATATGCATACTCAACACAACACACTTATGAGATCATGTTAGAGTCAAATCTCTTGAACCTTTCATATTAGTAGGAAAATATAACACTAAATTCTCTTTTATCACCTTACTAATCAAGCATCCCAGGTCTTTTATCCAGTCACTTGTGCTGACTTTTAACCACCTGTTAACAATAAAGTGGTTATTACAGATGAACTTCCATTTTTACTCTTAATACTATTAATAGCATAATTTTCCACTTGTAGGAACTATGTATTGTGACATATTTATAAGATTTGGGGGGCATTCCTAGAGTATCTTTAACAAATAATTAACTGTAATGGCTTACAATCCTAGCACTAATATTCACTATAAGGCAAATTACTGAGAATCATCTTTATCTAGAAGTAAGTCAGAATATAGGAAGATTCTACACTAATCAACTAAATGCAATCTTGACCAAGTATATATTCTGTGTATGTAAGAACCATCTGAAAAAAAATGGTCTATTACATTAAAACACAAAGTACTTTAAAGTAAATTGAGAACTGGGAGTGTAGCTCAGTGGTCGAGCACTTGAGGAAGATGTGTTAGGTCCTGGGTTCAACATCCAGCACTACAAAAAATGTAAATTAC